TGCTCCGCGGCTTTGATCCCTGTCTCCCTGGTCTGCTGGTCTCCAGCAGATCGGGGAGACGGGGAGCAAACCCCGTTCGTAACTGCAGATCCGACGTAAGTTGGATCCGCGTAACTCGGGGACTGCCTGTATTTTGAAATTTGGTGCTGTGTAGACATGCCATATTTCAAAATAAGCTTTTTTGAAATACAATAGAAATAAGATACGTAATTTGCGTGGCGCAAATTGCATATTTTATTCTGAGTTTAGGGTGCTATATAGATGTACCCATGGCGAATATGAGGCCTCAATTAGTTACTGCCTGAGAACTGGGACTGACCCAGAACCAGATGAATGGGCCCCATTGAGCTAGGTGCCATATGTAAGAAATGCATAGTAAATTCAGTCCCCAAAGTGCTCGCAGTCCCTGCTGAGAGGAGAATGAGGGCCACTTTACATGAGTGGAGACAATAGCTTTAGCCCCACAGAAGAGGAAACTGAGGCACAGAATGGGGCCATCATTCACCCAAGGCAAGAAACAGAAGCAGAGTGATGATGTCCTGGCACTCTGGCCATTAGGTATCACTGCCTCTTGCTAACAGTTTCTCCCATTGGTTTCAAATCAGGTTCTCCGTATAACTTATATTTCTCCCTTCTGAGGTCTCTGTAGAAGACAGCAACTTACTACTGGTGCCAGTTAGTGGAGTAACTTCATTATTCAGAGATTCTAAGGCCAGAAGGAATCTTCGTTACCAATTAGTCTGACCCACCTGTTACAGTAGGAATGTTAAATATCGGTTAATTGAATAGTCGATTAACCTCATGAATTAGTTGACTATTCTATTGTCATCGGGCAGCCCCTGTCCAGGGGAGAGGTCTGAACTCCCAGAACCAGCATGAGCTGGAACTGAGCTGGACTGCCTGCCCGCCTGGCTCCTAATACACTTTAAGTGCAGAGCCACAGTGAGGTTAGGTCCATGACCCAGTGCAAGCCAGGTCTGAGCTGGGCTACTGGCCAGCCTGCTAAAAAATTTACTGGCAATGGGGGGAGGGGGAGATGTGTGTAATTTATAGCATTAACATAAGCTTTTGCTTAGCAGTTAATCGACTGTACTATTACATCCCTACTGTACAGCACAGGTCAAAGACCTACCCCCAAATAATTCCTGGAGCAGAGTTTTAAAGAAAATGTCTCATCTTAAAAAATTGATTAAAAAAAATTTCAGTGATGGAGAATCCACCATGACCTTTAGTGAGGCATTCCCCTACCCTGTTAAAATATTACCCCTTATTTCCATGCTGGGTCGGACCACAGTTCCATCCAGCCCAGTATCCTGTCTGCAAACTGTGACCAATACCAGATGCCCCAGAGGGAGTGAACACAACATGTAATCATCAGATGATCTCTCCCCTGTCATCCATTTCTAGACAAACAGAGGGTAAAGACACCATTCCTACCCATCCTGGCTAATAGCCATTGATGGACTTAACATCTATTAACTTATGTAGCTCTTTTTTGAACCTTGTTCAAAAGTCCTAGTCTTCACAGCATCCTCTAGCAAGGAGTTCCACAGGTTGACTGTGCACTGCGTGAAGAAAAATTTCCATTTGTTTGTTTTAAACCTGCTACCTATTAATTTCATTTGGTGACCCCTATTTCTTATGTTATGGGAACAAGTAAATAACTTTTCCTTGTTCACTTTTTCCACACCAGTCATGATTTTATAAATTTCTATCATATCCCCACCGTAGTCTCCTCTTTTCTAAGATGAAAAGTCCAAGTTTTTTTAACCTCTCTTCATATGGGACCTGTTTCAAACCCCTAATAATTTTTGTGAAGCTTCATCTTCTAGCCATTGGGTCATATTAGATCTTACTCTGCTAGTTTGAAGAGCCCATTATTAGCCTTCACCTTTTTGTTAAGCTGCACAGAGAGAGCTCCTTGCCTCTGTCGCTACAGGCAGGTTTTTTAACCCTTTGGTTATTCTTCTGGCTCTTCTCTGACCTCTCTCCAATTTATCAATCTCCTCCTTGAATTGTGAATCTCAGACCTGGACCAGAATCCTAGCAGGGCCAAACCAGAGGGAACAGAACCTTTGTGCTGCTACCCGACACTCCCCTGTTTATATATCCCAGGTTGGCATTAGCTCTTTTGTCTCCCACATCACACTGGCAGCTCTTGTTCTGCTGATTCTCCAGCATGGCCCCTGGCTCTTTTCCAGAGTATGGCATCCCAGAAGAGAGCACCCCAGCCTATCTGTCTAGCTCAAGTGGTACAGAGCAGTGTTGGAATCCAAGGTTCAGGAAAGCCCCATTAGGGAACTAGACTCTCCGCATGAGGTTAACAGACCCTAATAAAACCAGAGGATTTCTCCCCTGATTGAAAAGCTTAAAATGGGACCAGACTCACCCAGGGCAATCTGCACACCCCATATTTCAAACAGGGCTGCTGGCAGGACTGGACCCATTCATGTCCCCACCTCTGGCTGTTTGGTCCAGATCCACAAAGGTGCTCCTAACTTCCACAGAGACCAAGGGGAGCTAGGTGCCCAAAGAACTTTGTTCCTGAAGGGAACATGGCTCCATTTTCCTCATAATTGGAGCACCACCCCGTGCCCCTCGGCTGGGCTCTGAGAAGATTTGCATTCAAGCTAATTCCAGGGCACATGGTGATCCTAGGGCTGACTCGAGGGCCAGATGCAGACTCAGATTCCTTTCAGTGCCAATGATTTCAGACAGGAGCTCAGCAGGATCCTGTTAATTCAGGATTGTGGGGTGTCTTTGGGGGAGCCACAGCAGAGTTGGTCTCCAGGTGGCAAAATGTCACAGTAAAGCAGTGCCTCTGCCCGCCAGCATTGCCTCTGGGTTGGTGTCCTGGCAGCTGCCAGAATCTCTCAGCCCCTCAGCTCCTGCTTTTCTGTATGAAGAGTGGCCCTTTCTGCTCTAATCCACTGGGCCAGGGACAGAACCCAGAATGGGTGACTCCTTGCCCTCCCTGCTTTAACCACTAGTCCTCACTCCCTGAATCCTGTTCTAACCACTTTGCCAGGCAGAGCAGGGAGACAGAAGTCTTGGGTTCCACACTGGGCTCTGCCACTCACTTGCTGGGTGACCTAAGTCAAGTCCTTGCCCTGGTCGGTGCCTCAGTTTCCCTAGCTGTACAATGGTGGCTGGTGGGGATGCTCCTTGTCCCCTTCCCCACCCCAGCTGATGCAGGCTTTGGTGTCTCCCCCACAGGACGTCTCTCCAGAGGAGCTGAGGAGCGAGTTGCCAGAACGCCAGCCCCGATATCCTTCTGCTGTGGGGTGGGGTGGGGGAGGGGCCATCTGAGCCACCTGGCAATGCGTGGGCATCACTGGAGGCAACCCCCTGCCTGGGGGTTATGTGGGTGGGTGGGTCCTCTGGAGCCATCCAGGGCTCCCTCACCCCCAGAAGAGAAGGGGTGCCTGGGTTCTGGGCAGCCCATACAGCTCTTCCCCTTGCCCCATCCACACTATCTCTCTGAGCATGTCAGTGTCTTGTGATGGCCCATGGGAGACTGCCCCCTTCTGGGAGAACAGGGAAATGGTTCTTCATCCCTGCTGACCTGGGCTGGGCATGGAGATGAGGTGGATGTTCTCCCTGAAGAGCCCTCTCATGCCCCCCCATGTGACCCTAGCTGGAGAGCCCAGGATCCATTGCCCATCTCCATCCTGAGCTCTGGGCTTGCTTGATGGGAGCCATTGGTGTGCCAGGAGATTTTCAGTGTCCTAGGTTGGACAGCCCCAGCCCATTTCCCCTCTGTCCCTCTCCTGACCCAGCTCCACAAAGATGCAGCTGCCTCCTTGACTGGGGTTACCTTTGTGGTGTACAGTTACAAATATGTCCATGATGACGGGCGCATCTCGTACCCTCTCTGCTTCATCTTCTCCAGTCCAGCTGGTGAGAACCAGGGGGAGCAGGGACTAGTGTGGAGGGGGAGGTGTGGGAGTCAAGACTCCTGGGTTCATGTCCCTGGCTGGGATGGAGGAAGAGGGAGCCAGGATTCCTGGGTTCTTTCCATGGCTTACAGGGAGTGGGGTCTACTGGTTAGAGCTGGGCACCAGGACTCATCATGGGTTCTCTCTGTCTCTCCCCATGGGGCAGGATGCAAGCCAGAGCAGCAGATGATGTATGCAGGGAGCAAGAATAGGCTGGTGCAGGCAGCTGAGCTCACTAAGGTACCAGGGAAGTGCCATACCCTTGACTTCTCCCCATGGACAGTACTGCCACCCCTGGGACACCTGCTCTTTACAGGCCCCTTCCCCATGCTGCCAGCTGCATACCCATGCCAGGAAGAGTGTCACCACTACTTCTCCCTCTGTGTTCCATGTTGGAAGGGGCTGTCACTGTCCCTTCCCATACACCCTGTTTTGCCTCATCCCAGGGCTGGAGGGCCACCCTCAGGCATGGAGTCTTATCACTGCCTTCCATCTTCACCCATACCTGGAATCTAGCCAGGACCGTTCCTGGATTGCTCCAGAGCTGGGATGCCTCAGCCCCTATAGATGAGATCAAGCTGGGACCCGCCCCAGCACTCCTCCAAAGCTCGGATTTACTGGGCTCCCCATTCAGCATCTCTGCCTTTGAATCGAGGTTCCCTTTTGGAGGAACACCTGTTAAAACCCAACCCAATTCCATCCACCTCTTCTCCCCCAGGTGTTTGAGATCCGGACCACAGAGGACCTGACTGAGGAGTGGCTGCGGGAACGGCTGGCCTTCTTCCGCTAGGGCTCGAAAGGCGCCCCCAGGCTTGCTCTGAAATCCCCTTGATTCCACCAGGCCTGAGACATACACACCCCAAGCTACTGGCAGGGAAGCAAATAAACCACTTGGGAACCAGCCTGGGTGTCTGGTTTGTGTCTGGGGGTCTGTCCCTGCTGGGGAGGGAGAGGAGATAACACACACAAACACCTAGCTGATAGGTCACAAAATGTACCTGTAAACGGAAAATTGTCACTGATGGGGAAAAATAGTAAAAATGCCTCTGATGAAGTTTGCAGATGACAACGATCGGGAAGGGGTAATCATTGAAGGTGATTCAGTGGACTCGGGATTGCCTGATAAACTGGACACAAGCACACAGTAAGGCTATGTCTACACTCACAGCTTCTTGCGGCAGAAATATGCAAATGAGGTTAAGCGTGGACTATTGCCGAGCCTCATATGCATACCTAATGAGCCGCCATTTTTGCAGAAGAGGCTCTTGCGCCAGAAGGAGCAGTCTACACTGCCTCTTCTTGCACAAGAAAACCCCTCTTTCGCAATGCCGTTATGCCAATTATTTTCATATAGCCATTGGCTACATCTACATTGGCAAGAGTTTTTGTGTTAAAGTATTTGCGCAAGAGAGCGTCTACACTGGCATGTGCTTTTGCGCAAGAGATGTGCTTTTGCGCAAAAGCATCCATGCCAGTGTAGACGTTCTCTTGCGCAAGAAATTCATGTTGCCTGTCTATACTGGCCTCTTGCGCAAGAACAGTTGTGCAAGAAGGCTTCTTCCTGAGCAGGACCATCACAGTTCTTGCGCAAGAAGCACTGATTTCACACATTAGAACATCAGTGTTCTTGCGCAAGAACTCCCCGCCAGTGTAGACAGGCAGCATGTTTTTGCGCAAAAGCACCTGCTTTTGCGCAAAATCATGCCAATGTAGACACAGCCCCAGTGTCTGAATATGGCTCAGTGCCAGTGGAGACACCCAGAGACAAAAACCATCAGACAGGGAACCCTGCCTGAATGTAAAGGCGCTTGTGCAGCTGCTCAGGAGAGATTCCAATGCTGCCCAGCTGGTTAGCAGAGAGCCCCCAGCCAGGTTTTGCTACTATAGGTTGTGCACATTGGCACATGTCTTGGGGCACATCAAATTTATTCCACATAGGGATAGAAAAGGCTAGAAGTGATATTGCAAGCTAGGGATTTCTCTCCTGGGAAAGACCTAGTGGCTAGGGCGGATCCTCAGTGGAACAGAAGCTTCTGGTCCAATACCAGGGCCTAAAGAGCTAATGCCATCCTGGGGTATATAAGCTCAGGAGCTTTGGGTAGGAGTAGAGGTGCAGCTCCACTAGCACTCGGGCAACCATGGCTGGAATCATGTGCCCACAGTTCAAGAAGGATGTCAGGCCCATACATGGGGGCTGTGTCTACACTGGCAAGTTATTCTGGAAAATCAGCCGCTTTTCCGGAAAAATTTGCCAGCTGTCTACACTGGCTGCTTGAATTTCTGGAAAAGCACTGACAATCTAATGTAAAATCATCAGTGCTTTTCCGGAAAAACTATGCTGCTCCCGTTCGGGCAAAAGTCTTTTCTGGAAAACTGTTCCGGAAAAGGGCCAGTGTAGACAGCACAGTAGTGTTTTCTGCAAAAAAGCCCCGATTGCGAAAATGGCGATCAGGGCTTTTTTGCGGAAAAGCGCGTCTAGATTAGCCACAGACGCTTTTCCGCAAAAAGTGCTTTGGTGGACAAGCGCCCTGCCAATCTAGACACGCTTTTCCGAAAATGCTTTTAACGGAAAAGTTTTCTGTTAAAAGCATTTCCGGAAAATCATGCCAGTGTAGACGTAGCCGGGGTGTGTGTGCGCGAAGGGTACAAAAGCACCCCTCCATGGTCACCCTAAGTAAGCATGCTCCGGCCAGCCAGGGGAAGGCAGGAGCTGTGTGCTGCCCGAATCTCTCTCCCCCAGGCTCTGACAAGGGGAAGGCTGGGGCTGATTTTCCCACTTACTTGGGGGACCATGAGGGATGGATTCACACCCTTGGGCTACGTCTAGACTGGCATGATTTTCCGTAAATGCTTTTAACGGAAAAGTTTTCCGTTAAAAGCATTTTCGGAAAAGAGCGTCTAGATTGGTATGGACGCTTTTCTGCAAAAGCATTTTTTGCGGAAAAGTGTCTGTGGCCAATCTAGACGCGCTTTTGCACAAAAAAGCCCCGATCGCCATTTTCGCGATGGGGCTTTTTTGCGCAAAACCAATCTCAGCTGTCTACACTGGCCCTTTTGCGCAACAAAAGGGACTTTTGCCCAAACAGGAGCAGCATATTATTTCCGCAAGAAGCACTGATTTCTTACAGTAGGAAGTCAGTGCTTTTGCGGAAATTCCTGTGGCCAGTGTAGACAGCTGGCAAATTTTTCCGGAAAAGCGGCTGATTTTCCAGAATAACTTGCCAGTGTAGACACAGCCTTAGAGAACCCCCTACAGAAATTTCTGCGGATGGGCCTAGATGCTGAGGAATTGCTGAGGGGTTGGAGGAGAGCCACAAGTGTGATTAACAGGTTTGAAATCCTTCCTCCCAGTTATAGACACCAGAAGCTCGTTTACCAAGGAGAAGGCAACAGGGGGAGCTAAACACCTCTGGATATTTTCTGACCAGGAAAATAAATCCAGAGTAACGGCCCGATTCTACTCTCATTTGCACCAGAGTGACTCTCTTGAAGTCAGTGGGGCCAAATCTCCAGCTGGTGTCAATTGGCCTTAGCTTCATTGAGATCAGTCTGCTCCCACACATTGACTCTGAATTTACCCTGCCATCAGTATCTGTCCTCTTTCCTCTGTTACTGCCTTTTGGCCCATGGGAGAAGGGTGCTGATACATTAACCCCCTCTCCTCCCAGTGTTTCATGTGTAATCTCTGGTGTTCCCCATTGGACTAGAACAATGGTTCTGTTGGTTACTATGGCAACCAGCTGACAGGCCAGCTTAGTTACAAGCCAAACAGCATCCATCAGTCACCGGCACCCACAGCGCTTCCCCCCCAGCCTTCCTGGGGTCTCCTAGGGCAGGGGTCGCCAACCTTTTCAAACCAAAGAGCCAAACTATCCAAATTCAGAACAAGTGGTCAACAGAAAGCCATATACGAATGCCCTTGTGCATGACTGAAAATATACAACTTATTGCTGATAATTGACATGATGATAAATAGCATAAATGAGACATTATACTCACACTTTTTATTTTCTGGGACTTCTGCTGCTGCATCTTTTCACATGTCTTTGAAGTTTACATCATAAATGGTCAAATTCAGATTCATGCATGAATTCAAGCAACATGCCTAATTATGCGTTTTTAAAATTTTGAATTAATTTTTCATTTTAATTTTTAAAGTCACATGAATTTTGGGAATGACAAAAGAGCCATATTTGGTTCCATACTGAGCCATAATTGGCTCAAGAGCCATAGGTTGCAGACCCCTTCCCTAGGGGCTTCTAGCCCTATGCTCACTGCCAGAGACTACTGGCCCAGGCAGGCAGGACAACTGGTACCCTTGGGTTCTGTTCCCCCCTCCTGCCTCACAGCCCCCTTTGGGCCCTGCGCCTCCTTGCCCCAGATCCAACCCTCACCCCGGCCTCATGGCACAAGAATTCATTGGGAGGGGGGCTCTGCATTGACTGGTGCTGGTATGAGGGAGTGTCACGGGGCAAGCGCTGACCCCATGGCACCTCCAGGCAATCACCTGGAGAATTAGCACTCCTGTCTCAGATAGCCCTCTGCTGGCCCATGTCCCAGTCTCTGTTGCAGGTCTTCTTTCAGTTCAGCCCCATGTCCCTTCCTGCCCAGTGCCCTTTCCTCCTCATACTGGCCTATGTCTGGGCCCCTGCACTCTGGGGTCCTCCCCTCCCACCTTGGAACCCCCAATTCCCCTACACCCACCTTGCCTCAGTGACCCACTGCCAGTCATCAGCTCGTCCCTGCTTCAGGGGCAACCTGCAGTCTGAAATGGCCACTCATCATTGGCAAGGGTTGTGGACCTGCTGCCTTTTCCTATCACTGGCTGTTTCCCTGCAGCCCTAGTACACTCAGGCCTTGCTTCAGGCCCTGCAGCCTGGGAGTAAGGTCAGGCCAGAGCTCCCAGCTGCAGTTCTGCTGCAATTTGTAGTGGGCTGGTATATGTAGGCTGATGTGCAATGTAATGCCAACTGCCGATTGCAGCATGGACCTTCCCATGGAGGCAAAGACCCTTTGACTTTGACTCCTTTCCAACCAGCTGCAAAGCTTAATAATGAAAGGGCATTTTACAAAAGCTATTGGGAATATTGAAGTTAGGTGCCTAGTGCTTCACCTCATCTAGACCTGGCTCTACCAGGCGCCTGCCCCCTCCTGAGTGATGCTGGTGGTCCCCAGAGGCCAAGCACAGCTGCAAAAGTCAGCCAAGGCCCGAGGAGCTTTCCCTTTCCTTGCATGCAGGAAAAGGTCAGAGGCACTGACTAGGACAGGCTATGATGCATGGGCCCCGTCAGGCACAGGTTGACATTCAAGGAAACAGCTGGGAGGATGGGAAGGAAGGGTGATTGCACTCTGTGTGCGCACGCATGTGTGTGTCGACGGGAGGGGTATGGATCCGAAGAGCAGAGAGCTGTGCAGTGCTGGAGGAGACAGTGGAGGATACAGCTCCATGGGAGAGGTTACTTGAGGAAACCAATTTGAGGGGTGCCCTGGTAGAAGGGAGATACAGGATGGGCTAGTGGTCAGTGGATGAGGGCTGGAAGTCAGAAATCCCGGGGTCTAGTTCTGGGTGGGTAGTGGGCTCCAGCACTTAGAGCGGGAGAAGCTGAGAGCTAGGAAGCCTGGATTCTATTCCTGGCTTGGGAAGGGGTAGCTAGAAGGCAGAACAGGTGGAACTGAAATGGGGTGTGATGTGCAGGGAAATTAATGGGGACTGGGTTCTAAGCTCAGGGAAAGGGGTGTTGTCTAGTGGATAGAGCAGCCCTACTGGGTACATGGGAGGGACACAGCCCTGCTCCCCACTGGCTGGGCTCAGCCTACCCATGCCTGAGTTGGGTGCCTATGGCCCTTAGCTGTCCACAGCGCAGGCTGTGCTGTTCCCTGGCACATGGTAACTAGCCATGTCC